TGGGGCTCTCCGGGGAGGGACGAACGAGCGGGCACTCGTGGAATGGAGCTCTTCCCCTGGCCAAGGCCCTTTCCCAGCTGCTGCTCCCAGCAGAGCGGCGTCTGAAGCAGGGGCAGGGGCTGTTTCCTTCCCTTCCTGACACAGCCCCCGGTGCAGTCTCAGCCCTGTGATTCCCATGGCACAGGGGTGGCTGGACACTCGCACCTGGGGCTCTTGGATGTGCCTGGTGCAGGAGATGCTCAGTGCTCCTAGTCCACACGGCACAGTTCAGGGGGTGAAAAACCTGTTCCCCCCCCACAACTGGCCCTGTCTTGTGTCGGCCCCCCACCACAGTGACGTGACACCTGTAGCGGAGCCATCTCTCATATATGGTCATGAATGGCGCTGGAGAAGTTCATTGGAGGGCTGGGCTGTGTCGGAGGGGAGATGGTTCCCGATAATGTCTAAAAAGGTGCTGCTGCTTCGATTGGCTCCTCCTATAGCTGGGTTGGCATCTGCAGACATATATAACCCTCCCATTGCTGTTGTCCCTGTGAGTTCCCGGGAGCCGTGACAGGGAGTGGGGTGCAGCAGTGCTGCGCCGGCAGGGCAGGACTCTCAGGATGTGGACAGAGGGACTGGTGTTCCCGCAGGTGCTGTGGCTTCTCCTCTGGCTCCAGTTGTGCGGGGGTAAGTGCCGGTTCCCTCATCCCACTTCCTGGGGCCAGTGGGGTCATGGGGATCCCACTGGGAATGCGGTTCCTTTCCAGGCTCCCCTGAGACAAGGGTCAGAAGGTGTTCAAGCCCATGGACCTTCTGCCTTTCCCTGGGCCTGTCTGCACTTATGGCAGCCCATGCCTGGCTGCATTTATAGACACCCCATCCTGGGTTACCCTTTTGGGACCCCTTGTTCCCCGGTGCTGTACCCTTGAGGCTGGCGGTGGCCCAGCTGGTGATGGCAGCACTCAGCGATCCCCAGGGCACAGCCAATCTCTAGGGTGCCCTGGAGGGTTTGTGTGCTGCTCGCTGCCCCCAGGCTGCAGGGGAGTCCCGACCCCAGGAAGGCAGTTTGTGCCCCACGGAGAGAAGGGGACAGGGCTGTCTGCACCCACAGGTGGCAGAGAAGTTTCCTTCCCAGGGGCCCTGGCCAAGCACGGGGGCTGGGCTGATGCCAGGGGTGAGGAGGGGACATGCGTTGGGGTTATCTCTGGGGTTGTCTCGGTGCTCCCTGAGGACATGGAAAGCTCAGGGTGTGGTGTGGGTTTAGGTGGTGCCAGGGCAGGTGGTGGGCAGGGGAAGCTGTGGGCCTGGGGGCACGGGGCTGTGCAGGGTGTGCTGGGCTGGGGAGGAGATGGTGCCCTGGGCAGGGCCTGGGGGCACAGTGTGGAGGTGGACATGGGCATGGGGCTGTTGGAGTGGAAGGAGGTGCCAAGGGCTGTGAGATGGTGAATGGCCCAGCAGGGCTGGCATTGGGCACCCCCAGCCTGCACAGCCCGTGGGGAGAGGAGGGGCTCCCACAGTGGCCTGGGGACAGCGTGGAAGGGGGAGGGCTCCCATGCTGGTGCCTGTGACTCCGCGTGGGAAGGGGGGCTCCCAGACCTGCAGTCTGGGGCTCGGTGCTCTTCTGACTGGTCCCATGTTGGTGTTTGAAGGAGCTGCGGAGGTGAGGCTGGAGGGTGGCAGCTGGCGCTGTGCTGGAAGAGTGGAGGTGAAACAACAGGGCCAGTGGGGGACCGTGTGTGGTGGTTACTTCTGGGAGATGAGTGATGCTGCAGTGGTTTGTAAGCAGCTGGGCTGTGGATCTGCTCTTGAAGCTCATGCGGAAGCACACTTTGGGCCAGGATCTGGCCCCATTTGGATGTTTGGTGTACAGTGTGATGGCACCGAGTCTGCCCTGTCTGACTGCACAAACACAGAATGGTTTCGAGAGTACTGTGATCACCGTTTGGATGCTGGAGTGACGTGTTCAGGTAAGGGGCCAGCCCATTCCCTACCTTTGTGGCCAGGATGGGGGAAGGGACCTGGCTGCACCCTCAGGGAACAACGGAGGGGTACTGGAGCAGGTCCTGGTGTGGCCAGGCACACTGCGAGCTGTGACTGTCATTGCTGGTTTCCCTGGTCCCTGAGGAACACCCCGGGCAAACTCACCACTGCCTGGCCTGGGACGTGGCTCAGCTCACCTTCCATCGGAGCCTCAGGCTGGGAGATGAATGCCATGCCCTGCTCTGCAGTCTCCTTTGGTTCCCATCTTTCTCCTCCCATTCAGCCAGGACCTGTCTGGCAGCACCGAGGACCAGGTCTCACCATGGCAGAGGCAGTGGGAGCAGCTCACATGGCCGCCCACAGTCCTGAGGAAGGGCCCAAGGTGGCCGGGGACTTTTGGGTTGTGTCCCCTGGCAGACATGAGTTCCCCAAAGCAGAGGGGCTGCTTAGAGGGGAGGAGTGCTGGGCTTGGGCAGAAGAACAGGGTGGCCCATGGCCACTTCATTCCTCTTCCAGGCTCACCCCATGAGAGCCAGCCCACAGGGAAACAGCCCTGTGCAGGCAGTGCTGACCTGCTGCCCAGTCTTTCCTGCCTACCCCAGCCCCTGCCTGCCCTGTGCCACAGGGGATTTGCCAGCACTTTCTGGTTCTCCTTGGTGCCCGTCCTTGCACTGGGAGCTTGTGTCAACCCAGGGCTGCTCCTTTGCCCACTCTCCTGCCCTCTACCCAGCTGTTGGCAGGGGATGTGCACACCTGGCAGCGTACTCTGGCCCTGGCTGAGGACCCCCTCCCCAGTCAGGTGCTGGAGCTGGGGGCTGGTGAAGACAGTGACAGCAGGTACACCTGCACCACATCTGTGCCCTGTCCCACCTAATAGCAGTGCCCCAATGGCCCGAGAACCACCTGGGAATGGGGTGCATTTCCAGTGGCTCCAAGGGGTTCCTGAGCCTGGCTCCGAGCTTCGTGGGGCAGAGCAGGCTGCAGCAGCCATCAGTGCCTCGGCCCCCCTCCTTGAGCTCAAGTGCTCTGGGTGCTGCAGTGTCTGGGGCCAGTGCCAGGCAGCCCAGGGTCTGCAGGATGGCACCAGTTTGTATGAGCGGTTCCTGCAGCTGGGGGTTTGGGAGAGGAGGCAGCCCCCGAGAGCCGTTCTGATGCCTGAGGAGCAGCAGGAGGGCTCTGGTGTGTTTGTGCCATCAGCACCCAGTGGGAGGTGCTGGGATGGTTGTGGGGCTCTTTGCCTGCAGCCACCTTAGGGATTAGGTGGCCTGTGGTCAGGTAACTAACTGCCAGAGGGCTCTGGGAACTCATGGGGGTCTTTGGTTTCTACAGGATTTGTCCAGCTGGTTGGAGGCGACAGCCCCTGCTCAGGACGAGTGGAGATCCGTGACGGGGACCAGTGGAAAACCGTCTGTGACTCAGACTTTAGTCCCAAAGCTGCCACCGTGGTCTGCAGGGAGCTGCAGTGCGGCACAGCCCTGTCTGTCACTGGGGCAGCTCACTTTGGAGAAGGGGATGGTCCCATCTGGGACAGAGAGCTGCAGTGTGTGGGGAATGAATCCCTTCTTGCTTCCTGCCCCAGGGGATCCCCAAGGGACGAGCCCTGCTCCCACGCAAAGGATGCCGGTGTCACCTGCACACGTAAGGACTCAGGGTGGGGTGTTAAACACCGGGGGTGTGCTGAGGATGGGAGAGCAGGGCAAGGACTGTGCTGGAGGGGAGGACAGGAGGGGTGATCATAAAATTATGGAGTGGTTTGGGTTTGAAGGGATCTTTAAAGTTCATCTAGTCCAGCCACCCCTGGAATGAGCAGGGACGTCTTCACCTAGATCAGGTTGCTCAGAGCCCCATTAGACCTGACCTTGAATGTTTGTCTGCAGCCCTAAAATTGTGCAGAAGGAGGAGAAAGGAAAGGCGTCCATTTGGCCTCTCCTCTACCTCCCGAGGGAGCAAAAGCACAAGTCTGTCCTTTCTCACCCTTCTCTGTTCCCAGAGTTCACAGGGTTCAGGCTGATGAATGGCAGCACGGCGTGTGAGGGGAGGGTGGAGGTGCAGGTGCTGGGGACCTGGGGCACCCTCTGTGCCTCCCACTGGGATCTCTTGGACGCCCACGTCCTCTGTCATCACCTTGACTGCGGGTTTGCCGAGTCCATTCCCAGGCCAGGTCATTTTGGGAGAGCCACCCATCCCTTCTGGAGAGACTCATTTCACTGTGATGGGACTGAAGGCCACCTGGGGCAGTGCCCGGTGACTGCTCTGGGGGCCTTGTGCTCCCATGGGAACGATGCTGCTGTCATTTGCTCAGGTGAGTGCTGCTCAGGGAAAATGCTGCGTTAACTCCATTTGCCCCTTGGGTGTGACGTGGCCACCCAAAGCAGGGGATCCCATGGCAGCATGAGTGTGAATTTCTCCCTGGAGAAACCCTGGCTTCACCCGCAGTGATCTGGAGAGCTTTGTCTGCTCAGACTGACTGCTCTGACGTGGGAGAGCTGAGTGCTGAATTGGGAGCGGTGTCTCTGGCCGCTGGGGCAGCAGCTCATGCCTCGGGGCCACTGCCAGGCCTGGGCTCCTCTGCTCTTGTGCTGCAGGACAGGTCAAGGACAGGGCTGTGGGGCTCTGCTCCATGCCTCTGGCTGCAGACAGCCCTGTCCTAGCCCCACAGAGTCCTTCTCAGAGCCCAATCCCACACCCGCAGGGGCTGCTCGGGTGCCCCCAGCAGCAGCAGCAACCAACCTGGGACATGAGCTGCAGAGCAGGGTTGGGCCCTTGCTTCTAGTCGGCGCAAGTCCCAGACTTGTCCTGTTTGATCAGAAAGGCCCCCCTCGCTCTGCTCCCTGCCAGGGACACAGACTCCCAGCCCATGATCCCCAGGGATGCAGAGGGGCAGAGATGTGTGTGCCGTGCCCCGTGTCTCAACGGTGTCGGTGTCAGCGCTGAGGTTCAGCAAGGCTTTTCCTGGCACTGCCTGTCCCTGGGCAACTGCACTGGTTGCTTCTCCCTCCTGTGGGAGCTGCCCCATCTGCCTCAGCAGGGACGTGTTGAGTGGCTCTACCCCACCAAAAGCAAAGACAGTGTCTTGCTCAGGGACTGGCAAACAAATCCTGTGGAAACCTGCTCCTGAAGCTCACTGCAGAGGGCTGGGGCCAGGCGGGTGAGCTTCAGGACACCGTGAGGTCCCAGAGCTTTGAGAGGAACTGCAGGTTTCTGGGTTCTCTGGTGCTGCTGAGGCTTGGGGCATGGCTGCTCTCCCCAGGCCCAGCTGACTCCGCATCCCTGCGGCTGGTGGGCGGAGGGAGCCGGTGTGACGGGCGAGTGGAGATCCTCCAGCGTGGGACGTGGGGCAGAGTCCTGGATGACCAGTGGGACGTGCAGGAGGCCAGCGTGGTGTGCCGGCAGCTGCGGTGCGGAGAGGCAGGGACAGCCTACAACCCCCCAAAGCCTGAGCGAGGGACGGGTCCCGTGGGGCTGCGAGGGGTCCGGTGCGCAGGGCACGAGGCCAACCTGGCCCTCTGCAACACCTCCCTGCCCGAGAGTGCACCGGCGGCAGGGGTTGCGGAGGACGTGGGAGTCATTTGCTGGGGTGAGTGGCACTGCATGGGCTCCCCAGGCTCTGGGCTGGGTGGGCAGCCGGCCCCTGACAGCAGCTGGGGTTTCTACCCACTACAGGGAGCCGGAGGGTCCGGCTGGTGAACGGGGCCGGGCGCTGTGCTGGGAGAGTGGAGGTCTACTACCAGGGCATCTGGGGGACTGTCTGTGACGATGGCTGGGACCTGTCTGATGCCACCGTCGTTTGCCGCCAGCTGGGCTGTGGAGGGGCAGTGGAGGCAGCCGGCTCCGCTCAGTTTGGGGCAGGCTCCGGGCAGATCTGGCTGG